AAATACGGTTTTTTTTTTTTTTTTTGGTGTGTGCGTGCGTGTGTGTGGAAGCACCGGGCTCCTGCGATCGGTGTCTGAATGAAACTACGTAAATGCGTATGTCTGTACGTTGCACTGGAGGGAAAAACGGAGCACTTCTGCGAGAGCTTGGATTCAAATGTGGTTCATCTGGTCTCCAGGATTTTCCGTCTCTTTGGGGTTGTTCGCCTTCCCGGGCTGCGAGGCGGGATTTTCTGAGCTTTGACACATCTTTGGAGATGTCTGTTAAACAGGAGTCTGGGAAAAAACATTTGAAATCGTAGAGAGATATTTTTTTTGTCCCTTTCCCATCCCCTTGGTGACTTGAAGCATCAAAGCGGCCAGAACTTAACATTTCTGAAGACTTGCGATGTTTGGGTTTTGTTGTTGCTATTTTTTTTTTTAGAGGAAACTTGACAGAGGAACATATTTATAGTCCAAGTAAGTACTTTACAGAGGAAATTTAGTTTGTGTAACTTAACAAAAAAAAAAAAAAAGCAGTGTTGAGGTTTCTAGCTTAAAGTGCGTTGGATTAACGTTCATCCAAGGCTGTTTAGCAAATCGTATTGAATTGCAGTTTTTACGGTGTGTGTTCGTCCGCTCCTTCGTGTCCGTGGTAGTTCAGCACCTAGGGGAAAATGCACCTGATTTTGAATTGGTATAATATTTTTTAAGATGTATTTCAACACCGAGGAGGAAAAGGTCCTAAAGTAAATTTATAATAAGTAATAAATGTGCACCTGGAAGTATTTACAGCATTTTAATCCCTATTTATACCGTGCATCTCAAACCGAGGAGGAAACACTGAGAAGACAAAAGTACCTCCGAGACCCTGAGAACTCCCCCACACCACCATGAATGAAACCGTGCCTGATACAGTAACTGGATTATAATTTTTGGTGTTATTAATTTTATTATTATTGGCTGCTTTAGTTTTTTGGGTTCATCCTGCTCCTCTTCTTCCTCTCTCCCTTCCTCTTGCTGCTTCCTCTTGGAAATTATGGCTCATCCGGGGAGAAGAGGCTACGATAACCGGGAGATAGTGCTGAAGTACATCCACTATAAACTCTCGCAGAGGGGATACGACTGGGCTGCCGGCGAGGACAGGGCACCCCTGCCTCCAGGTCTCTCTCCTCCTGCTGCTGCTGCGGTTGCTGCTGCTGCTGCTGCTGCTGGGACTTCCTCTGATCACACTGGGCTGGTGTCTCCGC